AGAAAGGGGAAGCCTCCTACACTGTTGGTGGGAATGCAAGTTGGTATAGTCACTTTGGAAAACAGTGTGGAGGTTCCTCAAAAAATTAAAAATAGAGCTACCCAATGACCCAGCAACTGCACTACTGGGTATTTACCCCAAAGACACAGATGTAATGAAAAGAAGGGCCATATGCACCCCAATGTTCATAGCAGCAATGTCCGCAATAGCCAAACTGTGGGAAGAGCCGAGATGCTCTTCAATAGACGAATGGATAAAGAAGATGTGGTCCATATATACAATGGAATACTACTCAGCCATCAGAGAGGATGAATACCCAACTTTTACATCAACATGGATGGGACTGGAGGAGATTATGCTAAGTGAAATAAGTCAAGCAGAGAAAATCAGTTATCATATGGTTTCACTTATTTGTGGAACATAAGGAATAGAGGACATTAGGAGAAGGAAGGGAAAAATGAAGGGGGCGGGGAATCGGAGGGGGAGACAAATCATGTGAGACTAAGGACTCCGGGAAACAAACTGAGGGTTTTAGAGGGGATTGGGGGTTGGGGGGAATGGGTTAGCCCAGTGATGGGTATTAAGGAGGGTGCATATTGCATGGAGCACTGGGTATTATACACAAACAATGAATCATGGAACACTACATCCAAAACTAATGATGTACTGTATGGTGACTAACATAATAAAAATAAATAAGTGAAAAAAAAAAAAGGAAAAAGGCAAGCATGTCCTCTCTGATCACTCCTTTTCAATATCATACTGGAAGTCCTAGCTAATACAATAAGAGAAGAAAATGAAACAAAAGGTATACACTTCAGGAAGGAGGAAATTTTTATTTGCAGATGACATGATTTTCTATCCAGAAAATTCCAAAGTCAACAATGACAACAACAAAACCTCCTGGAACTAATAAGCGATAGCAGCAAGGTTGCAGGATACAAGGTTAAAATACCAAAGTCAATCACTTTCATATATACCAGCAGTGAACATGTGGAATTTGAAATTAAAAACAGGGGCCCCTCAGTGGCTCCATCGGTTAAGTGTCTGCCTTCAGCTCAGGTCATGATCCCATGGTCCTGGGATCGAGCCCCACGTCTTGGCATTTTCTTTCTTTCTTTTTTTTTTTTTAAGATTTTATTTATTTATTTCACACACACAGAGAGAGAGAGAGAGACAGAGAATAAGAAGGGGAGAGACGCGGGTCACCTGGGTGGCTCAGTCGTTAGGCGTCTGCCTTCGGCTCGGGTCGTGATCCCAGAGTCCTGGGATCGAGCCCCACGTCTTGGCATTTTCTTTCTTTCTTTTTTTTTTTTTAAGATTTTATTTATTTATTTCACACACACAGAGAGAGAGAGAGAGACAGAGAATAAGAAGGGGAGAGACGCGGGTCACCTGGGTGGCTCAGTCGTTAGGCGTCTGCCTTCGGCTCGGGTCGTGATCCCAGAGTCCTGGGATCGAGCCCCACAACAGGCTCCCTGCTCAGCGAGGAGTCTGCCTCTCCCTCTCCCTCTGGCCCTCCACCCTTGCTCATGCTCCCTCTCTCTCAAATAAATAAATAAAAAGTCTTTAAAAAAAAAAACTTCTGAAATCAAAAACAATACTATATGCATTAGCGCCAAAAAAAATGAGTATTTAGGTATAATCGAACTCTGTTGAAACAAAGAAGAACTAATTAAATGGAGAGGTATCCCATGCTCAGAGATTCAATATTGTCAAGGGGGTTATCAGTTCTTCCCTAATTGATCTATAGATTCAATGCAACCCAAATCAAAATCCTAGCAAGTTATTTTGTGGATATCAATAAACTGATTCTAAAGTTTATATGGAGAGGTAAAAGACCCAGAATAATGAACACAATTTTGAAGGAGAAAAGTAAAGTCAGAGAACTGACTCTCTCTGACTTAAAGACTTACTATAAAGCTACAGTAATCAAGACAGGGTGACACTGTGAAAATAAACAAAAAGATCAATAGAACAGAGTAGAGTGCCCAGAAATAGACCCCCATCAATAGAGTCGATTAATCTTTGACAAAGGAGCAAAGGCAATACAATGTGAGCAAAGATAGTCTCAATAAATGGTGCTGGAACAACTGGACATCCACATGCCAAAAAAAAAAAAAAAAATGATTCTAGACACAGACTTTTCATCCTTCACAAAAGTTAACTGAAAATGGAGTATAGATCTAACTGTAAAATGCAACACTATAAAACTCCTGGAAGACAACATAGGAGAAAATCTAGATGACCCTGGATGTGGCAATGACTTTTTAGATACAACACCAAGGGCGTAATCCATGATGGAAAGAATTGATAAGCTGGACTTGCTTATCAATTTTTTAACTTTTGTTCTGTGAAAGACACTGTCAATAGAATGAGAAGATAAGCCACAGACTAGGAGAAAATATTTGCAAAAGATACATCTGATAAAGTCCTGTTATCTAAAATACACAAAGAACCATTAAAACTCAATAATAAAAAAAATGAAAAATCCAACTTAAAAATGGGCAAAAGACCTGAACAGACACCATGAAAAGATATATCGATGGCAAATAATATGAAAACATGCTCCACATTGAATGTCACTGAGAATTGCAAATTACAACAACAATGAGATACTACTAGAGTAGCCAAAATCCAACACAGTGACAATACCAAATGCTGACAAGAATGTGGAGCAATAGGAACTCATTCATTACTGGTGGGAAATCAAAAGCCATTTTGGAAAACTGTGGGGCAGTTTCTTACAAAAATAAACATACTGTTACCATCCAATCCAACAATTGCACTCTTTGATATCTATTCAAAGGAGTTTAAAACTCATATCCACACAAAAACCTGCACACAGATGTTTGTAGCATCTTTACTCATAACTGTAAAACCTAGAAGCAACCAAGATGTCTTTCACTGGGCAAACTGTGGTAATTCTAGACAATGGATTATTCAGCACTAAAAATAAATGAGCTATTAAGCCATGAAAAGACTTGGAGGAACCTTAAATGCATAATAGTATTAAGTGAAAGATGTCAATCTGGAAAAGTTACATATTGCATGATTCCAATTATATGACATTCTGGGAAAGCAGAACTATGGAGATGGTAAAAATATCAGTGGTTTCCAGGGGTGAGAGAAGAGGGAGGGATAAACAGAGAGAGCACTGAAGAATTTCAGGGCTATAAAACTACTCTGCGACATTATAATGATGGATACATGTCATTATACATCTGTCAAAACCTACCCACTGTACAACAAACACCAAGAGGAAATCCTAATGCAAATGATGGACTTCAGGTGACAATGATGGGTTGACGTAGGTTCATCAGTTACGACAAATGTACCGCCCTAGTTGGGATGTTGCTAGTGGGGGTGGCTATGCATGCGTGAGGGTCAGGGAGTATGTAGGAATCTCTGCACTTTCCTCTCCATTCCTCTGTAAACTCAGAACTGCTCTAAAAATAAAGTCTATTTTTTTTTTTAAGTTAAAAAAATGGGAATGACAAAACCAAAACTCAGGAGAGGGTGATAAAAGGTGATGGGTTGCCGATATAAACAAAGGGCTTCTAGGATTCTGGTTAATTCTTAAGCTGAATGACAGATCCCCAAATGGATCACTGATGACTTTTCTGAGTCACTGGATGTACTCCCCCCCCCACCCCCCCCACCCCCGTGCTGACCTTAGAAGATAACAGCTTTTCCGTATTGTTTGAACTCCATTTTGAGTGGTGCTTTCTGTTATTCATAGTTAAAATCACTCAAACTGATAGTCTCTTAATTTGGATGCAGCAGAACTGGGATCTGATTTAGCATGTCATCATTTCCTCCTATTCTGTTTGTCTAAACATATCATTAAAACCTTGTCTTAGTTACCCCCCAACTATAAAAAAGACTTGTTTGGGAAAAAAAGAGGCTGTAATTAAAACAACTCAGTATTTTTCCAATCCTAAAAGGTATCTTCCTTGAAAACATTCTGATTAAACATGTGTGATACCAAGGACAATCAAGACTTTTTAAAAAATCTATAAATCACCAAACAGATAAGGAGTCAGGCTTGTACTCTTGCCCTCCATAGGGAACAGCTTAATCTGGCCGGAAGATCACACATTTCCCATTGGAGTTACAGGCTGGAGGTCAGACCACAGGCTGAATTCAGCTACCACAGGAATTCTTAAAAGGAGAGCAAACAAGGAAACAAGGAGATTTTTGTTCAGAAAGGGGCATGGTCTCTGCTGTTTGGGCCAAAGAAATAAAGAGCAGTGGTTTCTCCACAGACAAGTCCTATACTGGAGACTGTGTCCTGCTTAGGAGAGGACTTCCATCCCACCTACTTGCAGATATAAAGAAATGCGCAGACCAGAAAGGGAGTGGGGCAACAGAGGGACTTACACAGGCACACACCCTTTATTCTACCAGACGGTATGAGCCAAGCCCTTCACCTGCACGCTTCCATTTAATCCTCAAGACAACCCTGCAAAAGCAAGTCTGCTCATCTCACAGGACAAAGATGCAGAGGTTGAGTAAGCTGCCAAAGGCCGCCCGCCAGGGGTTGGTGGAGCTGAGAGTCAAACCTATGTCTGTCCCACTCTAAAGCTCATATTCTTCTCCTTATTATCACATACAACAACCACAAAGAATACCACAGAACAACTCAGCCTTAGGCTTCAAAGGCTGCCCCCCCCGCCGCCCACATCTCTTGCCCTCTCCTGTCAAGTGTAGTGCTGGCCATACCATAAAGATGCAGACCCCGCTAAGCTCAATAGGATTCCATTATGAAAAGGGATTCCTACATCCTCGCTTCCCAGACCACAAAGTCTGGCCCTCATAGCCACCATCCACCTCACACATGCATCATCTCAGCCACCAGAGGAACAAGGTTGGAAAAAAAAACAAAAAACAAAGGGGGGGTTTGCTCAAGGCAACTACACCCTGTCTGCCCCAGTCCAGCCTCAGTCTGAAGCTACTTCCTGCTGCTTGTTCTATTGACAGTAATTGCCACAAATTACCTAAGGTCCAACAAGAGACAGCCCTCAGGAGGGAGGCACTGCCGTAGAGGGCGTGCATGTACATGAGGTGAACCATCAGCTCGGCCAACCACCAATAGCAGAGGAGGCGACCCAGCCCCACGGCAAAGGTCAAAAGGTTGGACTTCAGCGAGCAGTCCTCTTGCCGCTGCATCTAAAGTAGAAACAAAAGAAGCCATTAGATTGTGCCTTCGTTTTTTAAATCTTCCAAAGAGTCCCCTATACAGTATTGGTAGTCAACTTCTCACAAACATTACTGTTCTATCTACCCAAAGAGGGTTGGATTAGTTATTCATTATTCTTGGGTGAAAAAGTCATGCCCAAGCTTGGGTGGGGTCAATGAGCTAGCCTCGTGCCAAGAACCAAGATGGGTTCTGCATCCCTTCACTGCAGCAACAGCCCTGCAAACACCCAGGGTGGAGGGCAGTGCCTGATGTATTCTCCCTCAGGACTTTGGGGTCTCTTTGGACTCAGGTGTCACCCTGCCTGTCTTCATCCATCACCCACCCACATGGAAGGCTGGTAAAAGTAGGGCCAAGTCAGGAAGGGGCAGAGAACTGGTAAGAGAAAGGGAGAATGAGAGAGCCTGAGGACAAGGGAAAAATTCAATGTGGGTGTGTCATCTTACCTGAAGTTGTTTTTGAAACAAGGCAGAATAAACACAAACAGAGACAGTATGTGGGACAAGTCTCCTGCTCAGCAGACAGTGCAGTGTGACAGTAAGGAACACAGACTTTGCAGTCAGAATCGGGATCAGATTCTAGCACAAACCACACAGCTGTGTGATCCTGAGCAGGTTACTTAATCTTTCTGAGGCTTGGTTCCCTCATACGTAAAGTGGAAAAAAATATGGTCACGACTAAATATGATAACATATATGAAGTACTAAGCACAGCACCTGGCATACAAGAAGCACTGGCTAATTGGTAGTTAGTATCTGGTAGGTTACATGCCTCCCACTGCACCTTCTTCACACTCTTCCCTCATGGCATCCCAGACTACCAGCTACAGGGCAGAATTAGGACACAGGTCAGAACCAAACACCAAAGGTGAGAGAAGGGCGTTTGGATTATTCACGGACACAGACTACCGAGAGTTCACTCAACACGTATGGACAACACAGAACCAGTTTGATCACAGTAGCCGGATTCCGGGTCTTGCCTCATTGCCTGCTGTTTAGGGATGCACAATAGTTTAAAACACATAGATGCTGAAATGCATAAGCACATTATAAAATGTGTGTGAATTCAATTTCAGCTGTACACCACTAGACAAACACACAAACACAGAAGAGAGCACGAGAGTGTTCTGGGTCCCACTCTGACAAGATTTTATTAGACCGAAGCCCGCCTTGTAATGCAGAGGTGAAGCTAATGCATAAATGATGACGTTGAATCCGCAAACATTCGCTGGCAGAAGAAATGGACTTGATTTAGCTTTTGACGGTCTGGGCTCCAGACACTACCCAAAGAGGAAAGGCCCATTCCTAGGGCCTCTCGGGCTTCCCCGGCCTTGAACATCAAAGGCACAGGGGTCCTGCTGCAGCCAGGAGCAATAGGCACTACCCTCAGAGAGGAAGGGAGATCTGCATGCCAGGGGAGTTATTTTTATTCCATTTTGACCATACATTCTACCACTTTCTCAAACTGTCCTCTCAGCGCAAGACATCAGCTTCAGAAATTCTGGCTGGCTCAGTGGCATCACGATAACCTGCACAAAGGGCTTTGCTCCCTTTTGCCATCTGCGTGGGTAGCTACACCAAGGAAAGCTCGTTGGCTTAATATTTTTTCATGTAAATTGATCAAACTAACAGGAATTTCCTTTCTCCATTCACTTTCCACAGTTGGCCTTAGGAAGATATTTTGCCCAGCCATAGCAACCTGCCTTGTTAGAAGCAACAGTCACTGAGGGGAGGGATCCACCAGGTCACGTGGGAAGGGTTTTCCCGGAAGGAAGACTGGGCATATCAGGGCTTTGCAGACCCACACAGATCACAGCCAACTGCAATCGCAGCTGAACTACTTGACCCAATGCACATCCCTTTCCAGGCATAAACTGAGGGTGGTTTTCATTTGAACGCATTCCTTAAGTGTGCATGCTCTGCGAGAGCATACAGAACCTACAACAGTGGATCTGTAGGCCAATGGATGGGTAAAGCCTCAACACAGAGATGCCTACCTACCCAATCATTCACGTCTGTTACTGAATTGAGAAGAAAAGGAAATAACCCAAATGTCCAGCAGTGGGAGGTTGGTCAAATGCATGAGTGCACCTCAATATTATGCAGCCATGAAAACTACTTTTTTCAATGTGTATAACTAATGAAAGACTGGAAAGATACACACCAAAATGGCAACAGTAATTGTATTCTTTTTGGTAAGATTTTTAGATTGCTTTTGACCATTGGTTATTTTTTTTTATTTTATTTATTTATTTGAGAGAGAGAGAGCACATGAGAGGGGGGAGAGTCAGAGGGAGAAGCAGATTCCCCGCTGAGCAGGGAGCCCGATGCGGGACTCGATCCCGGGACTCCGGGACTATGACCCGAGCCGAAGGCAGTCGCTCAACCACCTGAGCCACCCAGGTGCCCCGACCATTGGTTATTTTTATAATAAGGGGAAAGTAATGGAACGTCACGATACTGTGAAGAGTTGGGTCCCCTCTGTTGATCAGGCAAGGTCTTCCACTTCTTCACCCTTCTAAAAAATATCTAGCTTCAGGATCTCACCTGGGCAGCCTGGCGTCCTCTATGGGTAAATACTCTACTCACTCTCCTACAATGGACCCATCTTTATTTCTCCTCCACTTCCCACCTCAGTGGTTGATTTTCTTACCTATATACTGAGGTCCCCTTTGTTCATTCTTTTCCAGCTCTCTAAAGCAAATTCACTTTGACCTCACTGCCATCAGCATATGAGGGAACAATTATGAACATAGTGTCCATTGGTCTGTGGAGACCAGAGGAGTTCACACCAAGGCCATCGGCTAAGCTGAGACATGAAGAGGCACCCAAACCATTCCAGACCACAGGTGGGCCTTTCTTGGTGCCACACTCTTGGAGGGAAGCAAGTCCCCACCTGAATGTGATAATGGCCTCAAAAGCAGTGTGGACAGAACACAATCTTCATACAACAGAATGTCTCCAGTTTCTAAATAAGCAACTCTGCACGTGGCCTGTAGGCCCCTGAGCGTAAGCCCACCCCAAGCTCCGGTCTCCTGAAGACCAGACCTGTACCTGAGGCCGCAGAGCATCCCTGGGGATGCAGCCCCAGCCCCGGGAGCAGAGAAGCAGCTGGACGGGAGGGGAGCCCCACCAGGCAATCAGGAAACATGTCTACCCAATCACCTCTTAGCTCCGGGCAATTGCCATTCAATTCAGTTCAGAGGCCTGCCTTAGCTTCCCCAAACAATGTGCAGTCTAAAATGACACAAATATCTGTAAATAAGGAGAAACATGAGGTACATTTTGTGGCTGATTGGCTCCCCAATAATGGCTTATCTACTCTCCCCAGGGCAAAACTTCTCTATCCGGGTTAATAAGGTGTAATTATGTGTCACCACTGGACCAGAAGGGCTGGACTTTTCTCTGCAATGCCCTCTTTTTGATGCTGGATGTCACCTCATTCAGAGTAACATAATTGTCTTCCTTAATCATACAAGTGAATACAGGAGAAGGAAAACAATCCAGGTTTTTTTTTTATTCTATTTGCTTGTACTTAAAAAAATGGTTATTCATCTTTCTTAAGAGTCATATGATTACAGTCCATTTATACCTTCAATCTAGTTGACTCCCTTTTATTTAAAAAATTCAGCATTTGTCCCTTGTCAATCCAGCAGGAATAAAAGATATGCCATACACAGCTCACCTAATGAGCAGGGCTGTTCTCTTGTCTGCATGCAAGCATTTCATTTGAGATATCTCAAACCTCAGGGAGTGCCAACCTTCAGACCACTGGAAACTACCATCAATGGGAATTTTTAGTTAAGGCTCCACTAAAAAATACACATTAACTCATCTGCAAAGTGCATTTTAAAACACATTATATTTCAAAACCTCATTTCATGCAAATTGCATAAAAAGGAATATCGAAACCTTTCAAAGAATAGTCTGACGATTAAAGATGACAGTTCTCAAAGATGAAAGGTTCTTTCCCTTCACACACTAACAATATGGATGTTTAAGAGCACCAAACAAAAGGCTTCCCTGGAGCCAGGGTTCGACTGTGCCGACCCTGCTCCCACCTCTACACTGGGTCAAGAGCACTGTAGCCAGGAGTCTTATCCTTTGTGATGGAGGAGCATCTCTGCAACTCATGGTCACAGACCCTACCCAACAAAGCCTTCTGTAATGAGCCCCGCCCCCCTCCCCAGGCATCCAGACCACGGCCAGTGGGAATCCCCCCAGCTCTGCCACAACAGCAAGTGGCACCCACAGCTGCTGCAGCTGCTGCAGGACTGGGACCTGCTCCAGCCAGCTTGAGCCTCCAGACCCAGATGTCCACCAGGCCACACTGCATCCTCTAACTCCAATTGGGCAGCCAGCCCCACATCTGTATTCCTTCCACCCTGATGTGCATTCTATTAGCCTCTCTTTGCCTCTGTGTTACCATCTGTAAAGTGGTGGTAACAAGAGTATCTCTCTTCTCCAGTGACTGTGAGGCTGAAGGAGTTAGCACATGCCAAGTCTGGCTCGGAGCAGGTGCTCGGTTGGTGTTATGTATTACAGTCTGTATTATTCCAGGTGGTCTCTAGAGCCAGAGGCCGCCCCAAACCCGGAGTGGCACGTCTGGAACACTGCCTGCCCAGCTCTTACCTACCCTAGCCACTCCAAGGCTGGGCCCGCCCTGGCACCTGCAGCAACCACCTGTGTCTCTCTCCTGAAGAGACAGAATCAACACACTGGTCCCTTCTGAGGCCAAGAATGGCCACCGCCCAGGATCCCCTGCTGCTGTGCCCACCTACGTGATGAGACAGCCCGGGCCTTGGTTCTGGCCTAAACCTATGTTAGTTCCCAACCTCGGGAGCTTCCTGGAGTAAAATCTGAAACTGACCCCTCTACGTGGAGGGCAGGGAGAGAACGAAGAGGCAGAGCACTCCAGATTGGTAGGTGGCAGGTGTGATGAGCAGAGGAACTTATATACAAGGCTGGTCTCG